CTTTGGATGACATCAGCTAAGATTTGAGGCCTAGTTTCCTTGAATCAAGATGGTCTCTATGCAAACAAAACATAGGCCATAGCCCTCCTCTTCAAAGACCAATTAAAAAAAAAGAGCAATCAAGAACAAGCAACTCTCTTTATCTCTCTAGCTCTCTTTCTCATCATGTGTGATACAAACAAGCCAACAACTCTTGCTCCAGAAACCTTTCACATGAACTGCTTGAATGCTGTATTTAACTTCTTCACCAGCTCCTTCACTGTCAAACAAAACCCTTCTTCAATCTGCGAAAAGCCAAAGGAACAGTGAAATAATCTTTATAGAAAAGTATAAATTAATAATTAATCGTTGATAAATACAATACAGATGTAAGATTTCTACCCAAAAAATTAAATAATGAAGAAATTAATCTCTAAATTACCTCGGCCACAACAGTGACATCAAGGGCACAGTTAGTAAAGGTAACGCAGCTAGTATTCACCACAGAGAGGTTCAAATTCTCAATCTCTGTCAATGCCTTCACGAGCACTCCTTTGCTCTTCCTACAGTGAATTCTCAATAGAACACTCTTCTCTGAAAGCTTAGCCTCAATCTCAGCATTATTGCCATCCTTCCTCTTCTCGTTATTTTTATCATCACTGTTATAATTGTTATTTTTATGTTCGTCATGAACAACAATAGGCTTTGCTCCATTGAAATTTTCGTCACTGGACGAAACATCGTCCTCCAATGATTGAGCCTTTTCCACTAGCACCGCGGACTCCACTTTCTTCGGTTCCGATTGCTCCTCGAGAGTCTTCACCTTCTCCTGCAGCTGCTTCAGGTACTTGATAGCGTCGCCGAGGACTGAAGCCTTGTCCATCTACAAAGAAAATGAAATATTTACCATAATGTAGTAAGAAATCCGTGCAAATAGTTCCAAGGATAAATTTAAAAAAATTATCATATATAAAAATTTTATTAGGAAAAAATTACCATAAACTTTTAAAATCTGAAAAGAAATGTCACATGCAATCAGATAGGAAGATATATTTTGCAAGTGAGTGTCAACTACTACAAACTTGAGTAAAAAAAGGACCGTATTGTTTTCAATTTTTTTGGCTGGTGTAACATTGGCCCCGCCGACATCCAGACCTTCTGTTACGATCTAAGTATGTTCGATGCTCATAGCTGTAGTGGTCCTCATGCTATGATCTGAATATGTGGACAATCATAGTTACGGTGATGACCAGCGGAACCAACCTCATGAGTTCAGAAGAAGGGGGGAAAATGTTCAGAAATAATATAACACAAAAACTGCAATAATCATTTTACAATTTGAAGAGGTGGGGGAAAAACCTTCTTCAGGCCTGGAACTATGGCAGAAAGTGCAATGAACCTCTGGCTGAGCTTCTCCCTCCTCTTCCTCTCCGCAATAATATGGTCGTGATTATGCAACAGCGGCCTAGTAGTCGCCGCTGTCGCCGCCACCACCACCTTCTTGGGTTTCAACACCGGCCCTTCCTTTGGCACCACAACCCCCACAATGCTCTTATACAGCTCATGTTGATCCTCCAGGGAGTCTGGGTTCCCGAACGACAGGATGCTCGGCGTGTCGGAGCTCCAGTTGTTGCTCGTCGTTTTCGTCATTTTCTTAGGCCTCTCGCCGGAATCCGTGGAGGATCCTCCTCCTCCGCCAGCACTGCCGCAGCTCAAAGTGTTGGAGGTGACGCTGGAGTTTGGGTTGTTGAAGGAGTTGTAACTCTCGGAAGAGAGAGATTGTTGAATATCGTCCCAAATGTTGTGGGTATCGTTGAATTGGTCTAGAGAGCCCAGCTCCCATTGATGGAAGCTTGGATCATCCATAAAATCCTGTTTTTGAAAAGAAAACAAGAAAAAATTACAATGAGGAAGAGTTAAGATTAGGGAAAATTGAGGAGATGGGTTTTTATTAACTAAGGGAATCTTACTGGATCAGAGAACCAGCGAGATGTTGAAGAATCCATGGATTAGGGAGAAGACCAAGTGTTTCTCTGGGTTGTGTAATGCTTTGGGCCTCTCTTTTTAAAGCTTTAGGAGTCTTGTGCTTTTTCACCGTGGAAGTGTCCAATAATTGCGGTAAATGAAAGGAAATTGTTATTTTACTGTGTTGACCGGTGTTGCATCATACCCACGGAAGCCCATCACATTACAGTTGTTCGTCCATGAGACAGTGATCTCCAATTATATCATTAATCAGACATCTAAGACTTATGGGTCTGTCTGTAGATTTACTCGCTTTAGAAATTTGCGCATGGACTGACTAAGAGAGTGATGAGTGAGTAACAACTTGTTAAATATTGATTAGCATAAAAACATACAAGTTGTTCGACTGCAACTATCAAATATAATATTTAAGATATTGAACCCTCAAGAAATGTGTGTTTAAAAATTCTACATTTGGTCCTAAAAAATTATAAACAAAAAGAAGTGAAATAAAGTGTGTGGAGATGTAGAGGGGGAATTGGCACAAAAAATAAAAAAATAAAACAAAAGGGAAGAAAGAGAGGAGGAGGGAAAATAAAAACAAAGAGAAAACTAAAAAGAAAATAAGAAAAAGAATTAAAAGAAAAAAAAATCAACAAGATAAAATCGAGAAGAGAGGAATCAAGAGAGAGAGAGAGAAATTAAATCAATAAAGTTTAAGGAAAAACAAGTAGAGAAGTTATAAATATAGAATTGAATCCACTAGTTAATTTCAATTAGGATTTACGAACTACTATCTTTTTATCGTATTTTATTTTAAATTTACTAAGATAGGTTATCAAACCACTTAAAGAAAACATAATCTATCAAATTATCATCTAAGAAAAAATTCTCATCTATGAAAATAAAGCAACTAGATAATAATCATAGAAATAAGCATAACCTATCTATTATACCCCTAAAAAGTACTAAATATTAATCTCTACAGAGCAATCGTGTCATGTCACTACACTTAATACATCTAATTTAAGACGAAGATAATCTCCAGCCGACTTGGCCCACTATTAAGCTGACATCTCGCGTAACCGAGACAAAAGGCAGTACTACTCGACCAACCCTTGATCGATTCCACAAGCCACCCGAATCGGCCTACTGGTCAGCCGACATCTCGTGTATCCAAATTAAAAGGTGATACTTGTCGTCCAACCTAGCCAATCACTCTTACGAATAACCCTCACTTGACCTGTTGTATCAACAGTCAACATGTATAGTCAACCATCAGTTAGACGACTAAAACAATTGGTAGTTTTCTCGAACCCCACACTGACAGCTACCTGTCCTTGCATTAACTGCTCTGACAAAGTCATCATTTCTCTAACTCCCATAGCCTTTATGACTCATCAGACCTAGTCAATTCCGAGCACATGTTGTCATTCCCATAATAAATGACCAAGTGACTCACATCCCTCAATAACCGACACGTAGCACATATCTGCTGACTCAGCTGCCTTGCTAGACTCGGCCCAAGTTACCTTCTTGTTCCTCAGATCCACTATAAAAAGGAGAAGAACTACATGAGGCAACCCTCTCTATTCTTTTTTGATACAGCTGGCATCTAACTCTATATTTCCTCACTCAATATCATCTACTAACTTGATCGTCAGAGGAACAACTAGAGAACTCGACTCTCTCTGTTCCTCAGATCCACTATAAAAAGGAGAAGAACTACATGAGGCAACCGTCTCTGTTCTTTTTTGATACAGCTGGCATCTAACTCTATATTTCCTCACTCAAGATCATCTACAAACTTGATCGTCAGAGGAACAACTAGAGAACTCAACTCCGGCCACTTACGAGTTCTTTCTTGTGTAGGAAAGAATAGAAAACCCCATATCCATACATTAGAAGGAGTTAGAGGACCTTAATCACTCCAAAAACCTACAAATTATTCCATGTCTAATAGCTGACATCAACAGTTTGGCGCCTGTTTCAGGCCAAAGTTGAATTCATTTGGGAACTCATTACAATCGTTTATCGACTTACAACAAGAGCCTTTTTATAAGACTTCTCTTACACAAATAAAATAAAAATTATAACTTTCTAAAAACACACACAACGGATGTTTATCACCCGTTGTTTGCGTGGGGTCTTTGCCTGTGCCGGGTTTATCCGTGGACCACTGACTGATCAGATCCAATATAAATTTCGTTGCCTAACAAAGGAGATAAGAAACTGAAGTAACTATCTCGACAAAGCGAGATAATCACTCTTCTCGAGAATCATAGCTAGGTACGATCTTAAGGAAAAGGGATAAACCGGACTACAGATCTATCAAACTCTCCTTCTTTATGCCGAAGAACTCGCCAAGATCTCTTCCTCCTCTCTGAAATTCGTGGATCCTCACTCTTCAATCCTGCAAATGTTGGCCAAGGCTCGAGAATTCTGGATCTCTGTAAATAAAGGCCCTAGGGCTGTATTTATAGGCTTCAGAAGCCCTATTTTCGGATAAGAACGAATGATTTAATCTTATCCTTAGTTGTAACCACTTAACCACGTTTATAGATAACCTAAAATTAATTGGGGAGGCTCTGGACAGTTTGAGGTAGTTCTGGACAGTCCGCAACAGTTCTGGACAGTCCGTAGCAGTTCTGGATAGTCCACGGCAGTTCTAAATAGTTTGGGCTAGTTCTGGACAGTCCGAAATAGTTCTGGATAGTCTGTGATAGTTTGGGACAATCTGGGACAATTTTGGATAGCCCGAGGTAGTTCTGGAAAGTCCGAAATAGTTCTGGAAAGTCTGCGATAGTTCTGGACAGTCCGCGACAGTTTTGGATAGTTCGCGGTAGTTCTGGACAGTCCGGGCCAGTTCTGGATAGTCCACGATAGTTCAAAATAGTCTGGGGTAGTTCTGGATAGTCTGAGATAGTTTTGGAAAGTCCGGAGTAGTTCTGGATAGTCCGCGACAGTTCCGGACAGTCCGGGCTGGGCCCTAGCTGAGACACTCACCTTGTTTTTGACTCTAATTTTCTCGTACGATGTCAGAATGAAGTGATTCAAGATTTGTTAGAAACATGGAGGAGAGATCTACAACTTTTATTTTTTGAGATTCTTCAGATTTGAAGCGAGACAGTCTCGACAAGACCGAGACAGTGACTCGGTCTTTCCGACATAGTCTCGGCTAGGGCTGAGCCTCGACAAGACCGAGACAGTGACTCGGTCTTTCCGACATAGTCTCGGCTAGGGCTGAGCATGGCTCGGTCCAAACTAACAAAACCGACCGAACCGACCCGAACCGACCCGAAAAATCGGTTTTATGAGTAGGACGGTTCGGGTCGGATTGAAAACTTTTCAACCCGAACCGACCAAATATACTACAAGTCTTAGTCTGTAATTCTCAAACCCTACCCGACCCGTCCCCAACCCAAAGAGTCAAAGACTCAAACCCTAAAAGCCTAAACTCATTTCCTCTCCCAGCCGACGCTCATTTCCTCTCTCTCACTCAGTTCACTTCGCCTTATCTTTTCTTCATAGCACTATTTCTCAAGCCTCACGCTTCGACCCCTCACTCCCAGATCCACTCTCTCCTAAAATTTCCACTCGTTCGCTCTTCTCGGTCGTCTTCTGTCGCTGGGAACCCCGACCCTAGATGGAGCGTCCTCCAGGAGCAGGGGCACGACG